CCCCCCCCCCCCCCCCCTCACTATGGCTCATGCCTACGCAATACCTTGCCAAGGCAGCGAGGGGAAGAAAGAAGAGACCAGTACGGAGACAAATGATTACTGCTGTAGTCTATTTAGTACACTGGCTGACGACAGCCTCTGAACGAAGTGCTATGTCGCAGACCCACGAACAGCTTCCCACACCCGCCTGAAGAAAAAATCAAAGGGTAACGTACCAGCACCAGGCACTACGCACCAGGGCATGGGAGTAACGGAGCAAACAGGACAAAGAGGCGGCAGATGGGCAGACAGCTAGCTAGATGTACAAGAACAAAGGCAACAGCAAAAGCGAGATCAAGGTACCCAACACAGCAGAGTAGGCAGGGAGGACATGAACAAAGAAACACGGCACAGAGGCCGAAGGCAATACAAAGGACATCATAAAGGAGTATAGCATACAGCAGGGAGGGAAACAGGGCGCAACAACATCAGCCGGGTACATAGTTCGCCACAAGTGCTGCCTCGGCCGCCCTACTCGCTTCTACAGCAGCGCCCGGTCGCCGTTTCGTCCCCCCCACCGCCGCTTCCCCGACTCTCTTTCTCTTCGGTCCTGAGATGGCCGTACTCTGCTGCTGCTTCCCTCGCGCGCTTGCGCTTCGCGGACGCTTCAGCCTCCTGCATGTGCCATTTCCTCATGAGCCATGCCGCCCCGTCCTCGACCTTGTTGTACCACACCTCTGGGTCCTTGGCGCTCTCTTTCCATTTACCCCCTTCCTTTCGTTTCCCATGTTGAAGGCCACGAGGTCCTTTCCTAGAAGACGAGAGACCCAGTCGCTCTCCTGCCCGCCCCGGTATCCCACGCCCCCCGCCATCGCTCCTGGCAGCATGCACATGATCTCCGTCTTTGGCTCCGACACCATCAGTCCGAACAGGCCGGCCAAGCGCACGATGACCGACATCGCCTTCTCGAGACTCTCCGGCGAGCGCGAGACGATGGCCGCATCTTCAGCGTAGAGCATGGCCCACAGGGCCTCCGCGTCCGTCACCACCGTCGTCTTCTTCCCCGCCGACCTGCCCTTCTTGCCAGTGTACTCCACTTGTGTCCCGATCTTGACCATATCCGCCGTCACCTTGGGGTCCTTGTCGAACTCGACCACGGCGACCATGAGCATCGCGGCAAAGAACAAGTTGAACAGCAACGGGGCCAGGTTGCATCCCTGTCGGACGCCTTGGCCAACATCGAACCATTCCGAGTACTGCCCGTCGTCCGTTCGGACGCGCGCCGTCATGCCCTCGTGAAAGTGGCGCATGACCGCCAGCACCTTCGGGGGCACGCCGAAGCGTCGGAGCACGTCCCACAGTAGTAGGTCTCGGGCCACCGAATCGCATGCCTTGGTGAGGTCGACGAAGTACGCGAACACCGCAGTACTCTTCCTCCTCGCGAGCTCATCATGGAGCCGCTGGATGGCGAACAGCATGTATGTCGAGCGTCGACCGGNTGGTGAGGTCGACGAAGCACGCGAACACCGCAGTACTCTTCTTCCTCGCGAGCTCATGGAGCCGCTGGATGGCGAACAGCATGTATGTCGAGCGTCGACCGGTGTGGGCGGAAACCGCTCTGCTCCTCCGGGAGGATGCCCTCTCGCTCGCAGTAGTGGCTCAGTCGTGTAGCGACGACCTTAGGCAGCACCTTGCCGGCGTGTGCGACGAGAGAGATGCCCCGGTAGTTACCACACTCCATCGTGTCCCCCTTCTTGAACAACAGCACCTTGATGGTGGCATCCTTCCACTGCTGTGGTACGTCCCCCGTCTGCCATACTTGCCGCACTCCATCCTGTCCCCCTTCTTGAACAGCAATTTGATGGTGGCATCCTTCCACTGCTGTGGTACGTCCCCCGTCTGCCATACTTGCCGCACTCCATCCTGTCCCCCTTCTTGAACAGCAATTTGATGGTGGCATCCTTCCACTGCTGTGGTACGTCCCCCGTCTGCCATACTTGCCGCACTCCATCCTGTCCCCCTTCTTGAACAGCAATTTGATGGTGGCATCCTTCCACTGCTGTGGTACGTCCCCCGTCTGCCATACTTGCCGCACTCCATCCTGTCCCCCTTCTTGAACAGCAATTTGATGGTGGCATCCTTCCACTGCTGTGGTACGTCCCCCGTCTGCCATACTTGCCGCACTCCATCCTGTCCCCCTTCTTGAACAGCAATTTGATGGTGGCATCCTTCCACTGCTGTGGTACGTCCCCCGTCTGCCATACTTGCCGCACTCCATCCTGTCCCCCTTCTTGAACAGCAATTTGATGGTGGCATCCTTCCACTGCTGTGGTACGTCCTCCGTCTACCATACGTCCACGACAGTGGCGTGGAATTCGCGGAGACCTTGATCTCCGTCCAGGAAAAGCTTGATCAGATCAGCCGGTCCGTCGTCCGGCCCGACGGCCTTTCTGTTGCCCATTCCCCGTACCGCTTCCTCAACCTCAAGTAGAGATGGGATGTCGTCGAGTGGCACGCACGTGGTCCACCGCTTGACCTTGTCAGCCGCATGCAGGTCGATGGTCGGCGACTTGGTGTTGAGAAGCTTGTGGAACCACCGTGCCCACCGTTGGCGAATAAACGTGGGGTCCCGAAGGACCTTGCCGTCCTCGTCCTTGATGTTCTGAGAGGTGAACGACCTCTTACCTTGGACGTCGATCATCTTCAGGTGCCTGTGGAAACCCGCCTGATCCCCCTCGCGGCACTTCTTCTCGAGCTGCCGTACATACATAGACCAGCCCTCGAAGAACGCTTCCAGTGCTCTCCACCTCGCGATGCTGTGCTTCTTCCGCGCCGCCTTGNGATCAGCCGGTCCGTCGTCCGGCCCGACGGCCTTTCTGTTGCCCATTCCCCGTACCGCTTCCTCAACCTCAAGTAGAGATGGGATGTCGTCGAGTGGCACGCACGTGGGCCACCGCTTGACCTTGTCAGCCGCATGCAGGTCGATGGTCGGCGACTTGGTGTTGAGAAGCTTGTGGAACCACCGTGCCCACCGTTGGCGAATAAACGTGGGGTCCCGAAGGACCTTGCTGTCCTCGTCCTTGATGTTCTGAGAGGTGAACGACCTCTTACCTTCGACGTCGATCATCTTCAGGTGCCTGCAGAAACCCGCCTGATCCCCCTCGCGGCTCTTCTTCTCGAGCTGCCGTACATAGACCTCGAAGAACGTTTCCAGTGCTCTCCACCTCGCGATGCTGCGCTTCTTCCGCGCCGCCTTGAGCATCGCCTTCAGGGTCGCCTCGAAGGTGCTGTTCTTTGAGGCCCCACGCAGTTGTTGCTGGGCCGCCTTGATCTCCATAGACGCTTCGGAGATCTCGTGCTGCGCTTCGCTCGTGTACCAGCCTCTCTGCCCTCGTGCGCACCTCGCCAGCGGCGCGGTCTCAGCAGCGGCCGACATCACCGTAGCCGTCAGCTCGGCGGCGGTCTCTCCCGTTGGCCGCCTGAGCGCCGTGGGCGGAGGGCGGCTGGAGGCCCTGTTTTGGAAGGCGACCCGTACGTGTTTGTCCTTCGTTAACCGCTCTAGGTCGATACGGATCCGGCTGCTTCCGCTGTTCCCCCGCACTCGTCGGTCGGGTGCGATACGGGGGGGGAAGCGGACAGTCGTAAGCACGAGGTTGTGGTCATAGTCATTGAAGTCGACACGTTTGACGGAGACATTACGCACGAAACGCCGGTCCGTCTGACGCATGAGGATGAAGTCGAGGCGGTACTTCTCCTTCCACTTGTTGGAGCTCTGGAATGTATGTGTTGTGTGGTGTACGTGTAGGGGGGCGGTGGGGGGAGCTTGTGAGTAGGGACACGACGGAGAACCATAGACTTCAGTCTGTTACCTCTGTATGTTTGCAGTTTGTGGTATGCATACTGCTGTGGTAGATGAAAGCACCGACCTACGCTGTTCAAAAAATGCAGCAGCGTCCGCGAACAATATTTTTGCGAGCGGACGAGGACGGAGGGTTAGTTTTGTGCTCTGCGCGCCGAGACCACTTCATTCAGTTCCTGGATTGTGCCCAGGTTCCAGGTGCATTCGTGTGCACGTGTGCACCACAAACTCAAAATTGAAGTACACTCAACAGCGGTTACGTACATGATGTAGAATTGCACAAAACAATGCAGACGTTGGCATGCATATGGAACGGCGTGCGACAAAGAGGTAAAGCAGTAGCGTTCATTTCATTGCTTACCTGGGACTCGTGACTTAAGACTTGTGACTTGTGACTTGTGAAAGAGAAGGGAACGAGTGGTGCCGTCGTGCTGGATAGAGAGAGGTCAGAACGGTTTGTACGAATAACCACACCAACACCAACACCAACACCAAGAGCAGCAGCAGCAGCAGCGAAAGGTTCTTGTCCCGTTTCCGCCAAGGCCAACAAAGCCTGCCCCGTTGGGCCACCGCCTGGTTTCGGTACAGCACCATCGCGCGGTGAAAGAACAAGGCTTGATTAATAGTTAACCATGACAGCAGTCCTCAACAACTGCAAACGCGCACTCGTCGCGTGCTCCTGCTGTGTACTATAGTCGTGCGCACCTCCTTTAAGAGCCGGCACATGCTTCAGTAATTACTTCCACCAACACCCATCCACTAGAAATACCATGCATTAATTTAGAAAAAAAAAAAATGATGTATGCATGCATACGTCACAACAGATCATCGTCGCTGAACTCGTCCTCGTCCTGCTCCAATCCCCCCACCTCCGACTTCACCGCGCCCTCCGCTCCCACCCTCTTTACCTCTTTCATTACAACCTCTTCAACTACCCCACCCCCCATCCTCCACACACCCCCTTCCACTGCCTTTTCGATTCCGGGTCCCCCCAGCCCACCTTCACCCCCCCCCTCCGCTCCAAACCCATGCACACCCGCGGTGCCGCCCCCCATACGCTCTATCTCATCACCCAACTCCCTTCCGCGCTCGTCCGTCTCTCCCATCCCTCGGGCCCCATCTAGTTCTTCTCTCAACTCCTCCTCCTCCTCCTCCTCCTCTTCTGCAGCCAACAGCTCCCCGCGCCCTAGCTTCTCTCCACCGCCTAGGTTTACAAATCTGCCATCGGCCCATCCACGCCTCCTCTTTCTTCGCCGCCGCTCAGTGCCTGAGAGTCAGAAACCAGAACACGAAAAAGGAGCATGTTGTAGAAGGTCGAAGTCACAGCAAGCAGCCAGGTTCCAAGAACAGTAGCCTAAACATGGAGAAGACGACGAAGGGGGGGTAACCTCTACCACACTACCACGCATAATCTTTGCGAGAAATCTGTAGACACAATGATACCGTCGCAGTGTATCTGAACGAATTGAACCACCCAGGTTCAATCGACCCAGCCATGTCAACCCGGCCAAAAATGCAAAAAGACATGATAGCAAAGGCAAAGGCAAAGGATACATCCGATCCACAACAAAGAACGGTCGATCAAAAAATGCGGCGGCAGGGGGCACGAAGCGAAGCAAGAAAAAAAAAACACAAAACGGGAGGCCATCGAAAGCGGTGCTTGGATTAACGATCAACCTCCCCTCCTCATCGTTGTCTCCACACTCGGCCTGCCGAACCCCCGCATTCCCACACAGAGACAGCCGGAACAAGTAAAACGAAGAAAAAAATAAGTCGGAACAATACTGCTTTGCATAGCAATATCCACGGAACCCCAAACCGCACCAAACGCACCCTCTTGGCATTCGTCCTCGTCCTCGTCCTCGCTTGCGGAATCCCCATCAGACCACAACTCCCCCGATGAATTCGTACACCAAGGAGACGACGCCGACGCCGAGCCGGTGACATCATCAGTGCTAGACTCGCCCCTCAGACGCTCCCTCCGCCTCTTCTTCCCGCCCCCTCCCTTCGAAAACCCCGCCGCCCCCGCCGCCACACGCCCTCCTGCTGCACCATCCACAGGGCCCACGGTATTGAGGCCGGGAGAGGACCCGAAGCCATCACCCTCGCCATCCGAGTCACCGTAGATCCCGGCGTTGATGGTGTGCCTTTTCTCGTCGGCTGAGAAGCCGTGCTCCCTGGTTGCCGATGAAGAACCTTCTTTGGCGGAAAAAGAACTTTCCTCGGCGGCGAAAGAACTTTCCTTGGAGCCGTCCGCGCCGGCATAGCCGGAGTCATCGCTTACCCCTATGATCAACGCACCGGCGTCTGCTGCTGCTGCTGCTGCTGCTGCTGCTGCTGCTGCCGGGGACAACGATGCAGAAGATGCAACTGTTGCTTCCAGACGGTCGCGTTGCCTGCTGCTGCGGACCGGTACGTCCAACACGTTGCAGCTATCGGGCGAGGACCGCGAAGGAGCACGCTCGATGTCTCCTGCGTACACAAGAACGATGAGATTGGGAGGAATGACGAGGGAGAAGATGCTGTAAGACCTCAAACAACCTTCATTTACTACAAGCTTGAAGGTGATGTTGGTCGAGATTTTGTCACCGGTTACAAGCACGGGTAGAAGCGTGTCGAATGTACTCTCAACCTAAGTTTTGCAGCAAGGCAGGAGCCTTGGCTTCTAAGCCTCGCGGCCACAACCATTGCCTGATACCAGAGAGAGCGAGAGAGAGCGAGAGAGAGCGGTTTCAGGCACCGTCCTTTCGAAGTCTGCAAGTCTGCCATGATCCAGAACACTAAACAAGCGGCGGAATCCCGGAACGGTATCAAGCACTGTAAGCGTGCGGGTGATCGCACGGCAGGTGTGCGACGGAGTATTAGAAGCAACAGATAGCGTAATGCCGGGGGGGGTTTTCTTACGTAGAATCATACGGCATGTGCATCAGGCATTGCGAGGCTGAAACTCTCGCAAAGCGGCGGGTAAGTGGTACGTGCTGCATACCTGTCTCCCCATCGCCCTCGTTGTCGGTGATGGCCTGATCGTGTGAACCATCTTCCCCTGAGGTGGCCCCTGCTACCTCCACGTCGTACGCGTGCAGCTGCCTTCTCCAGCTTCGAATCTGCGGGGCGCCGGTGTTGCGGCAGACGTTATGCATATGAAGAACGACAACAACAACAGTTCAGTTGTGGGTGATGCATGGACAGACAACCTTCCCACCGCAAATGCTTTTGCCCGATTGGGGCGCCTCACATCATCACATTCAGGTGCATAGTGATTGCGGCCGCATCATCAGCTTCCGACATTGTGGGTGCTCTGCAATACATACTCCAATCGTATTGCATGTTTCATATACTGTCCGGTTTTGGAGGAGGACACTTTCACGAAAAACACTAAAAATAATCACCTGACCAGCCCAGCGGCGCTTGCTCATCTTCTTCTCCTTGTTGGGAGTCATGGGGTCTCCTCTACTCCGTTTGCTACTGTGAGGTACAGCAGTACAGATACACAAGTGGCGAGAGAGACAAAATCAATCAGTCCCATGGAACAAATACGCAAGTATCACATGAGGTCGACGGCACAAACCAACCGGATATCGCTTTCATGGTACGAATCACCTACTACAAAAGAAAGAAAGAGTAATACACCAATATGGCAAAATAATGCACCTTTTGGTACTCCAGTACAGGAGCACAATGGTACTGTAAGGGGAGAGAAACAACATGGGGACCGAGCGGCATGGCGGGTCGTGATACTAGTACAACACGCGTGTGGCAACCCGAATAACGCGATGTTGGCGTTGGTGTTGGTGTTGGTGCAGACCGTCGGGCATTTGTTCCTTGAAGAGGACTCCCATACAAAGGGTAGGGTAAGGTAAGATTAGCAACCGTACAGTGGTGCTCACCAATAGATGTCGACAACATTAGCCATCAGCAAGTAGCTTATTCTGCTACTGCACGGTAGATTCATCGGAGGGATTCTGCTACTGCACGGTAGATTCATCGGAGGGAACTGGAGAGAGAAGCAGCCGACGGGACCTATGGAATGGAAAGGTGGAGACAGATTGGTCTCGTGCTGATAAAAAAAAGGCGTTGATACTGGATGAATACCGACCAGTCGTTGGAAAACTACGGATGTCGGTAGTCACAAGGACATCGACAACGATGAGAAGACGGCAAGCATCATGACGAGATCGATGACAAACAACATACAGATGGCGACGACCATGACAAAGCAAGCACCATCACGAGAACGAGAAAGATGGCAGTGGTTTCTACTGTTAGTCTTACCGTGGGACCATGGCCAGGTAGCGGTCGTACCCCGAAGTGTTCTTGCCGAAATCTATCTGCTTCTGGCGCTGAGCTATTCGATGGGGGTCTTCCTCACGGTCGCTGGCGAACTTCAGGGCTGATCAAAACCGACCACGACATTAACATCAACAGCAGCAGCAGCAGCAGCAGAGGAAGAGAGGACAAGACGCAAGAAAGCAGGATGAAGTCAGCAAACACACACGATGCGTCAGGCAAAAGACAGCGGCCATTGTTGGTGCCACCGGCGACCGGAGAATAAGCAAGCACACGAACTTTTCAAGACGTTTGTGTATGTCTGCAGCGCATTGGAGCCTCCCTCCGTTACGAAAAACTGAACGCGGATATCTTTGGTGAGAACGGTGGCGACGGCAGCACTGTACAATAGCAAGGCCAAGGAGAGACGTTGGATTCTACCTGCACTTCCGAGCATCTCTCTCCCACGAAACCGAACAGACCCGAAGCACCGAACATGTGGCTTCAGCATCGCCACACCCGGCGTTGCCATGACGGGGAGAGCGGGCGAGTACTCCGGAAGGTGCTTCTCCTTACAGTCATTTGACCAGCGACAACGCACGTCTTACGAGACGGAGCACGGCTAACATACTTCAAACAGGGGGGGGGGGGGGGGGGNGGGGGGGGGGGGGGGGGGGGGGGGGGGACAACGCGCCCCATCATCAGCTTGTGCTAGATACTACAGATACTACCAAGGCAAGACAACGCACCTTCGCCCTGGCCTCCGCCTTCCGCTTCGAAGTCGGGCTTCTTCCCGAGTAAGTGCCTAGGAAGCTCCTTCACCTCCTCCTCCTCCTCCTCCGCCTCCTTCTTATGCTGAGGTCGCGGGGCGTGCAGCTGCTCGCCCTTCTCTCGCCGCTGCCACTGCCGGCGCAGCGGCGGAGGGTGTTTCGCCGCCGCTTGCCACCTCCCGCGATTTTCCGCACCGGTGCCCCTTCCGCCGCCCCGCGACAAGGCGGTGTTGCTGGTGTCTCCAGGATTCGTACCGGCTCCCTTGCCGCCGTCGGAGGAGAAAGAGGGGTCCCCTTCCCTCGGGGACAATGATGATGACGTCATCTTCATCGACGGTGATGTCATCGATGGTGACGTCGTTGTCATCGATGGTGGCGTCATCGTCATCGATGGCGGCGTCATCGTCATCGATAGTGACGCCATCGTCATCGATGGTGGCGTCATTGTCATCGATGGTGACGTCATCGTCATCGATGACGACGTCGTCGCTTCCCTGCGGTCCTCCCGAACGGCGGAATTTGCTCTTCTTGCGCGGGGTGCTGATGCCTGGTGCCCTTGCCCGTTGTCCTCGCTACGAAAAGGGGGACCTTGTCTACCGTCTCCTCCAGAATAATGACCCGAATCTCGACTCCACGAGTAGGAGGCGTTCAAGTCTTGGGAGGTTGGGACAGTGCGGAAAGATTCCGGGTTTCGATGTCGAGGCGATGGGTCGGCCGTCAGATCACAGGATGCTCTCCCATCACGACATGATCTCCCGTCGCGAGATGACATCCCATCGCGAGAAGATCTCCCATCGCGAGGCAGTCTGGGATCACGAGGCAGTCTGGGATCACGAGGCAGTCTGGGATCACGAGACAGTCTGGGATCACGAGGCAGTCTGGGATCACGAGATGACATCCCATCCCGAGATGATATCCCATCGCGAGAAGATCTCCCATCACCAGACGACCTCCCGCGGTCGTCCTCGCTCCGAAAGAGCGACCACTTCCACCCGTCATTCCCGGGAGAAACACACGCGGATCTTGATCTTGGTGCTGATCTCGGTGTTGATCTCGGTCTTGGTGTTGGTGTTGGTGTTGGTCTCTCCGTGTCGCCATCACGGTCGCGGCCCGTACGCAGGCGCATGCTGCCGCTGACTGCCCCATCGCCACCCCTGCCCCCACCACCCGCAGGCTCCCGTTCGCTCGTCCTCGCGCCCTCTCCTCGACTCGTTGGTAGCTCTCTGCCTCCTGTCCGACCTCTCTCGCCATCACTTTCACCACGATCCCTGCTCCGGCCGGGCTTCACGTCAGGGACAGGGAAAGATAATTCACCCCGGGTGAGCCTCTCGAGCACAGGAGGGTGTCGATCCGCAGACCGCCCGCGATCGCTGCGCGCAGGCCCTGACCTTTCATGTGCTGTGGGTGTGGAGGGGTCGGAGTCCCGGCAATGGCGGTCGACATCCTTCCAACGGTCGTCGCTCTTTGCGCGGTCGAGGGCAGCAGCAGTGGAATACCGCTCCCATCTGCCCCCCTTCCTTTCTCTTGTATCGTTGTCGCGCGGAACACGTCGCTGTTCCCGATCCCGACTACCTTGCCGATTGCCACGACTTCCATATGACGGTCCCGCCTCTCGGAACTCCCCGGCAGATCCATAGTTGCCACTTACCCTACCGTACCATACCGTACCGCGAAAGACACAGAGGGTGTGGGGGGGCGGGGTGACTATCTGATGATGTCGGGAAAACGTGCCAGGGGGGGAGGGTTACCCTAACCATTATCCTATTGTCCCATGGGGTGGGAGCGCCAACACACCTCGCCATATTTCCGGGGTCGGCTTCAACCCGGCTTGTCACCCCAATACTTACGCCAAAGAGCGCCATCGCTAGTCTGGTGTTCTGACGGAATCCCCATCATAGCATGTCAACCATGAGCACCATTGATATCCTACCTTGTGTCTTGAGTGCATCACAGCCTCTTGATCGGAGCGTCTATTACAGGAGGCGATACTACGCGAGAGATGGGTTGTACAAACGTTCAACGCAAATAATTTTCGAGATGCAAAGCACCGGTGCTACATATACATTTCAGCACGCACGACGTTGAGCCTGAAAAAAATTCGAGGTGAAAGTAAATTTTCGAGGTGAAAGTTAATTTTCGAGGTGAAAGCACCGGTTGGTACAAGATGTGTTCAGCCTCAACACATCGAGGCAACGCTGTGGTCTCGCCCTCTAAAAGATAAAATTGCACCATAATAATTTTATCTCATACCCCCGAACAAGTATCATACCAACTGCATACACGCCGCCTGAACGCATAAACCCATGAGAGAGCCAACCCGGCTTTGGGAGAGGGAAGGAAAGCCGAGGGGATGATGCGAACACGACACGTCGAATAGGTTAATCAACTTTTTCGAGCGTTCCCACCATCTACGCACCACCGCCACGCCCATCGTATGTGTAAATCGGTACATGCCACGCATGTTTTTCTCTCACCCGTGAGGGAAGCCGTCTTGACGCCTTGCACCCCCCCCGCCCTGGCCGCTGTCAATGTGGCCGCTCCTGCGCAGTGGAGGGGAGAAAAGCAGGATAAGCGGAGAGATAGGGAAGGAGTAGAAAGGAAAAACAACTGAGTACAGATATTTGTGTCACCTCATCAATAGTCTGGGCAGTATGTTTTGACGCGCAACGCCGTTGGGAGAGAAAGATAGCCGAGGCGGCAAGGCACAAATATTCAAGAGAACCCTTGAGATGGATATTCGTGGGAAGTCACAAACTGCTCGGGGTGTGGCAGGGGTAGAGGTGCTGACTGGTGTACTAACACGTCAATGTAGCCTCCGCGAAGGATACCTACTAACATTGGTTTTTCAGTGTTTTGGTAGGGGGTGGGGGGGGGGATCAGGGATAGGGATACGCAAACTACAGGTTATGTGTTGAGAATGCATCCGACAATACAGATGCTTTTGTTCTTAGCACCAACTGGCATCACTGATGACTCAGTGCAAGGCTTGCACAAACTCAAAATCAGCCCAGCCTCCAGTCGGTTTCGATCCACTTACTGAAAAGACTTTGCCACATCCCTTTCGACTGAGGCTACATCTCGAACGGGTAGTCGTTCTGTGGGGTTATGTTTACTTTCAAAAATCAGATCGGGCAGACTTACCGAGGATTTTAGTCTGAATCTTTGCATATGAAGTAAAGAGTAGAGAGGGGGTTTTGCCTCTCTACACTGCATAGATTCATACTGCAGTCAAGCCTCGACAAGGTTTCTTTCAACACTTGAGTCTCCGCAGCAGCAAACTGTGGAAACAATCACAACCCAGCAGGGCTGACCCCAGTAGCCTTGGCAGCAGGCTATGTTGTTAGGGTTAGAGATGTAGGGTGTGCGTTCCCCCTCCCCCTTCTATTTCCCGAAATTACTTATATAATCCGGGGAAGTCGGTCCGCTTCCGCCCTGGCGTGGCGTGGGGGTGGTATACTTTACACTCTTATCATAATGGCGCGGGTACTACATAGGGCGGCGACTTCGCTACTCACACAGGTGTTGTATCGAACCGAGGGATATCTGTTCCTTCGTTGCTGGGCCCTCCATGGTGGTGTTGAGCACGCAAGAGATGCACCATAGTCCCGACGTCCCGACGTCGCACGGTTTCGTTGCAGCTGCTTTTGCATGTGCGTTGTCTGTTCGTTTAGTCTGCACAACCCTCTCCCGTGCAAAAAGCGCGGTAAATACTTATCGGAGGAGATAACGCATCATCAACCTTTGTGAACAAGACAGAGGAGAGAAAACAAAACCTGCTGCTGCGAAGGGCATGGACCCCAGCTCCCAAGACGAGCGTCCGGTAGAGGCAGCAATCGGCCTCTAACCCCTCCAACCTATCGCTTGTACCTACTACCGCGATATTTAGGTATTTTCTCGGGAGAGAGGCGAGGGAGACTCCCCAAACGAAGAGTAGTCTTATCGAGTTCAAAATTTCAAAAAACACCAACATCTTTGTCTCTCCCACTCGCTTCATCTGTCGATGTAGGCGGTTGTTGTCGCCGCTCGGGGGCCGGGCTTGTGTTTCTTCGGTGCGAGGTTTGCGGCCGCTGTGCTTCTCCTACCGCTGCTGCTACGTGCTGTCACAACTGCTGCAAGGCCACGTGTGGATACAAACGGAGTGCGAATCACGCACTGCGGTGAAGCTGCCGTTTGGGTTAGGGAACCGCTTGTTTCGTGCAGCGTGGAGGGCAAGAGCGGCGCAGGAAAAGACCGCCAAAGAGAGACATGCAGCGGCGACTAGTCCGGCGCGCAACGTAGTCTTTTGCCTGTAGGCCAAAACCTCCCTTCCGTCTGAGTTCAACCAACTGCCGTTCTCTTCTGTATTTGGTGTGCTTGCGCGTGCTGCAAGATTCGACAAAACACCAGAGGACGTAGGGACCAATCACCTCTCTTGTCCAAAAACACCGAAATCGCGAGCACATGTCGCGGAACTATACACAAGATGACACGAGTAGGGCGAAGGGCGGGGATAGGAAAGACTCACATGTTGTTGGGACTCATGTCCAATAGAACCTCTCTCTCCGTCTGCTCTCGAACAACAGCTGGCTTGTTGCCCTCTTGCCTCAGTAGCGAGTAGCGAGTGCATTTAGCGGAACCCCTTCTAGAAGACCAATAACCAGAAACGGGTATACCCGGGTACTATATCACCACTGTAGGGTACAGATAGTAATCAGCACGCTTGCACCCCCAGGCTGTCAGCTGATTGACCGAAAAACCAATGTACCCAGCTCTGAAGGAACCTGCATCGGGTACAACTTCCGCTGGAATTAGGACCCTCTGGTGTGACCAATATTGGTTACTGTACCCGGAAGAGGTCGATTTTGTACCCAGAAATGGTCATATAATCCCGGCGCCCGACGCTCTAGCATTTAACCCGCTTAAAAACCGCGTACCGCACATACATACCGTGTACCGCACATACATAACCACAACCAAACCACCAACAACGCTCGCTCGTTCATCGTTCATTGGCACCGCCTCCATAGGATACCGGCCCTTCTCAACAGAGGGTTGTACTCGCTTGACGCGCGAGTACTTCGGTGTGGTACTGATCAGTAGAAGCACAGAGAGAGAGGGAGGCACAGAGAGAAAAACGGGCACGACCTGCCTCGTGCATCGTTCTTCCGAGGCAAAGGACACAGGAAACAGACAGCGGTTGATTTCGCCGCGATCTACGGCGGATGCTGTCGGAGATTGGTGTCGTGTTGATTTCCAAATGTACCCTGAAATGGCAATATTCCACCCGGGTACACCTGTTTCCCTCCCCGCTGTATGCTATTGTTGTTGTTGTTGTTGTTGTTGTTGTTTCTCACATTAGCTCTAAAAAAGGTAGATTGGGAGCCCTTGGTCTCAAAACCCGGCATACACGACCCCACGAAGAAACTGAAAAAAATAGGGTACAAAAACCACTCGGAAGAGAAACAAAATGATAGAGAAAGACCAGCTACCGCACCAAACGAGAAAGAGCGTCGAGGAGACCGATCAAAATAAAATAAAAGGAGAACGGGGAACGCTTCCCACACCCGCCTACAACGCCGGAGGGTTCCGTGCCGGGTTCCCGCCGACCAGGCATCCCCCGCCCTGCACCACACCCCAGGGGGTGCAGCAAGACGGGGGGCGAAAAACAAACACATATATATTCCCA